ATGCCCCGGTTGACCGCAGCGGAAACACAGTCCGCCGCAGTCAAAACAACTGTCGCACTTGACGCGCGTGTGTCCCGATGCTAGGCATTTGTAGCATCTCATCGGTCTCGCCGCCAGGACTGTGATCCTGGCGCTCACGAAACCGATGAGCAGCCTGCCGGCGTCGGCCAATACTTTGGCCGACGCTACGGGACAGCTGACCCACACGGCGCCAAGTCCTCCTGGACCGGGGCGGATGGTGCCGACCCTGACGTTGTCCGCGCTGCACCCCGTCTTCTCCCGGATTACAGCGCGGACATCTTCGGCCGTCACAGAGTCGTCCAGGCCCGAGATGCGCAGCTCTGCGCACTTAGTAGGTCTGGCGATCTTTACACCATCCGTGGCTGTAAAGAGTCCCCGCAGCTTCTCGGCAAATGTGTCCGCCGTCTTAGCGCCTTCAGCCCCAGGGAACTCGAGGACTCGAGCTCCCGTCTGGGCGAGGCGCATTCTGACCCCCACCGTTCCAAAATCGTTGGCGAGGCTGTCCCGGGCCTTTTTGAAGACGGCCGCGTAGGACAGCCCGCCGTTCGCCGCCTCCGGGGACACGGTCACCACTACAGCCGCGGTTTTGGGCGGCTGCAGCTTCCGCGGTCTCTTTGTGGAGGCCGTTGCCACCGGTGGCGAAGGCTGGGCTTGGGCTGCTTTTTTGGCAGCCTTTTTGGCCCGCCTTCGGGACTTCTTGGAGCCCCTCGCCTCCTGCCAACCCTCGTTGGAGGGGGCAGGTGCGGAGGGGCCCGGCAGGGGTGTCGGAGTGGGGAGCGGAGGGAATGCCACTCCGCTCCTCGGCGCCGTTTTAGGCCCCGTCTTGGCCGGCGCCTGGGGATGTGCCTTGGCCGGCGCCTTAGCCGGTGCCTTGGCCGGCGCCTGGGCCGGTGCCTTGGCCCCCCTCCTCGGCTTTTGGGGAGCCGATGGAGTCGGGGCAGACGCCGCCGCCGCGTAGGAGACGCGGCCTCCCACTACGGGGAGCGCGGTCGGAGCGGCGGCCTTAGGCCGCTGTGTCGACGCGAGCGGGGGGCGCACAACCGGCGCAGGGGGCAGTCTCGCCTCCAGGCCAGCCAGGCGTCCGTCCAGCATATTCCCAACTGCGATGAGGATTTCTCGCAGTTGGGAGTCAAATGCCCCTGAGTTGGTAGTAGGGGCAGGCTGGGACGCGGACGGGGCTTCCCGCTCGGGGAGGTTCGCCTGGAAGCGGGCGAACTGAGCGCTCAGCTCGTTCACCCGCTCCGTCAGCCTTCACTGTTCTAACCTAACTTAACCCAAATGATAACAAACAACCACACTTATTTTGCAAACTTACCTAATAGGAATAGGAATAATTAACGTGAATAGCTTGTGTGTGCAATGTAACACGCCAATTCTCAATCCTGTAACTTGTAGCAAAGAATGCAATGTATCAATAAGGCTACATAAAGCTACAAATGATGTTATCTTTCCTATTATAAAACATTTAAATGCCAAAAAATGCCCAGGCTTCGATGGTATAAGAGTGCAAGATTTGCAACATATTATCAATGAAATTACCCCGGTCATTACGCACTTAATTAACACATGTATTGCCACGTCCGTATACCCAGATCAATTGAAAATCGGAATAATAAGACCTATTCACAAAAATGGTTCATATTCAAATACAAATAACTACAGGTCAATTACTGTATTGTCATGTATAGATAAAATAATTGAAAGATATCTAGGCCAGGAAATAGGTAGGTTTTTAAAAGAAAATAGTATAATTAATGAAAAACAATTTGGTTTTCAAAAAACTAAAAGCACCTCTGAATTATTATCCAAGTTTAGCAATGAGATTAACGGGTATCTGGACTACCGTGAAGATGTACTTGTTGCCTTTATTGACTTCATTAAAGCATTTGATTTATTAGATTATAAAACCTTATTTACTAAATTAAAGCATAATGGTATACGTGGACCTTTGATGAATTGGTTTGACAATTATCATCGTAATCGTTACACCGCAGTAAGTATCGCTGGCTCTCTAAGTTATATGATTCTAACCGACAAAGGCACGGCACAGGGTTCGATTCTCGGGCCAACCGAATATTTCTTATATGTAAACGACATGTGTGATGTATTCACTGAGGGATCGGTGTATCGTCAGCAAACTGATATCTCTCTTGATATCTGCGCATAAAGACCTACGTGAGGCGCAGAGGGTTATGCAGCGCAACTTTGATCTATTGTGTAGCTGGGCCCACGATGTGGGTCTAGTGATTAATGCACAAAAAACTAAAATGATGCATATACATTCACCTTATTTGACATCGCCTTGTGAGCCAGTCATTGTTGCTCATGAGCACTCGTGCTTACATCAGACGGGAACCCTGTGCAGTTGCCAATCGTTAGAGTTGGTGTCTCAGCATATGTATCTGGGTCTTACTAGATCTTAGATAATAAATTCCACTGGGGGCCTGATATTAATAACGTATGTAGTAAATTAAGATCCTTTCAATCCAAATTATATGTACTAAAATATAAATTACCTTACAAAACACTTAGAACCATGTACCTCGCACTTGCCGACTCCGTGATTGGCTACGGACTAGGTAGCTATGGGCGCACATACAAGACCAACCTCGAAAACATTTATAACATACAATTAAGCATCTTAAAAACAATAGTACCTAGAAAAACTAAACTACAATTTAAAGAAGACGAATGTGGCCTATTTAAACACTGTAAAATATTAAATGTTTTCGATAAAGTGAGCGTATGTGTACTAGATGAGGAATACCACAACCTTGCTCAATTGAAGAAAAATATAAGATCACTACGTCACTTGTCATACCTACCCACTTATAGAACACCTAAGCATACTAATGTATATGGGACGCGGACGTGGTAACACATGCTGCCCCGTATAATGAACAACATACCTATCGAAACCTGTAGCAAGATGAATAAAATAAATTGTAAAACTGTTTACATAAAATATTTATTGTCTAGCTGATACCCAACTTTATAAATATACATATGTAATTAAATTGTAACTGAGATGTGTCTGGTATAACACGGATAAACTCTTGATGGTTTGTGTGGTATAGGATGGATAAAATGCATGTGTGAATTTTATATTAGACAATAAATAATTCGAAAGATAGGACTTTAGGACTTTTTGATGAAACGGACACTCGAACTTGTGGAGGAACGGGTGTCATGTTCCTCCAACACAAAGGGAAGATCTTCCGACTAGGCGATTTGATCATGCCTGGCGAACCGCGGCCCAACGGTTGATGTTCGGAAGTTGTATATATGCTAATCGGGGAGAAAATTCTTCATATTGCGATACAGGATTAGCAATTCTCATTCAGGAGTTACTTCGTGGTTCGGTGTGTCTTCGTTAGATGGCGCTGTAGTAGGTTTCTGTTTCTTTGTATGTGAGAGTCGCTACATCTTAATATGGCTAGTCGGAATTGTGATACATCGATGATATGGAATATCGTCAATTCGGACGCTCGAGCGAATGACTTCGGAGAATTAGCCATCGAGCACATGACATTCTGAATCAAGTGGTAAGCCTAATCAAATAATTCTCTGTTTACAGACATTATCTTAACTGAAAAATAAGAAGTAATAGAGGGCGACAAAAAGTAGTTATTTAACTTTTGCTCGTTGAAGTACGAAATTCATCGCGGTTGTATAACGCTATGTTATTTTGTGACTCTTAACGTATATTAGAAGTGTATACAATAATAGACCAACATAACGCCAACGCAACAGTAGCCCGCCACGTGCCTCTACAACTCTACTGTCAGTAAACCAGTCATCACTATCTGACACATGAAAGCATCGCCGATTAAATCTAACAATATCAGTCTTACAAATAATAATGAGTGCAAAATATAGATTAATGGATTGTACAATAATTGGGGTTTTCCAGATGATAATTAAAGGTGAATGCCAGGCATTGATGGATGTTTTTAAATTCTCCTGCTGGTTACGACTATTAGTAATAGTAAAACCACCAATAATAAGCACAGTATACTTGCAAAATTTATTCTTAGTAGATATTAGATAGAGATCTACTTATAATGTAAACTTATATATCACAATTATGGGGACATCCGTTAAAAGCCCCGCGCGAATGCCTTGCTGTCCCAAACCCCTATGTGTTGCCCGCGCCCATCTAAGTGTAATCGGTGCAAATAAAAAAAGCAGGGAATGCAGAGCAGCTTAGATAGTCTGTGAAACGTTAAAGTTCAATTAATTATTTTAGTTCTGATTAATAACGATTAATCAGAACTAAAATAATTAATTGAACTTTATATACAAATATACATAATAGTTTCCGCATTAATTAATTACATGTAGCTCTAATTTTGCAAATATACTAAAAACATGTCGCTCTCACATTAAAAAGCTGGGTAAAAGAAAATCTATACCAATTCTTATTTATCTTATTTTGAATTAAATCTTTTAATTGAATCTAATGAATAAGAATGTAGTGTAGGTACTTAATCCTACCTATATTTGTATTACTTACAAATGAACAAATAAGATATTCAAATGATTATCAAATTTTCCTTACTTGAAAGGTTACACGTATATGTATATATAATCCTCCTAAAGATAATTAATTAATAAAGGAAATGTATTGTTATGTTAGATTTCTTCAGCTTTACAGATAGTCAATTAGTATTTAATATGTCTATTAACTTCGTAAAGATGGGTAACATAATATCTAAGTTGAAATACAAAGTCCGACAATGGTAACAAACACAAGACTGTCCCTTCTTGTAAGTAATTTAACTAATTGCCTAATCAGAAAAAAATCAATGCCTAATTTATCATTAAAAATTAATTACACTTATCACTAAAAACACTAATTAACGCTGCTAATTACAAAAGAAGCATATCATTTTAGATTGATAAAAGATAGGGATAAGATTATTTGTATGTAATAAATAATGTGCAATAGTGATCACGCACATTAAAAGTTAACAGCCATGGCCGCCGTCTACCTGCTTGGGCTCCTCTGTGTCTTGGGATATGTTCAGGTAAGGATCACAAAGATCGTTAACAGAACTCATCACAATTACAAAGGTACCTCGGGATTCAAAAGGAGACCCCAAAAATATACACTTTTTAAATACAGAGGACTCGATAAAATCACTAAGTCGATAAAGTTATGTCATACATACATACGTTTTGTTTCTTTGTATGGACATAACCATTTCCGTATGTACTTTTAAAAATATTAATATTACCATAAACGAAAACGTCAAAGCGGCCAACTATCAACAACTTAGATTTTGCTGCTTTCTATGCTAACATTCAAATTATACCAAGTTATAAATTCTAGGCGAATAGAAACATAGGTACATAATTTTAAAAGGACAATAGAATTTAAACATAATATTGTGGTTAATATGCAGTTTTTAGTTTTAATTTACTTAGGTATCGTGTTCAAATAGTCCTGTTATACCTATACTATTTTTAAAGGACAAGTACCTACTCGATGTTTACTGTTACTACCGTTGATGGTATTCAAGTAAATATGACAAATACAACAAATATTTTGAATGTCAAGTGTTTTTAATGATTTAATACTTAATTTCTTTCTGTAAATCTACCATGTATTAATAATTTATGAACAACACCCATTTAATATACCAATGATGATACTTTATTTTATTTTCTTTCTGGATAAAAATGATTTCAAGTTATATTAGATAGGAAATTTTTATGTGTTTGTAATGACTGTCATTACAAACACATAGAAATTTCCTATCTAATATATCAAAGATAGTTTAAGGAAATACGTTTAAAAAATCAATTTAGCCGTATGATAAATGTAGGTATGCAAACAAAGGAAAGGACCTCCTTACTTCTTTGTTGTTGTTTTTTGCGATTTCAAACTAATACTGTGTACGAACGTATAGGAGTTTTATGAAAATCATGAAGTCAAGTTTATCTACCTCGCGAACTAATTCTCAAAAATTTTGCCTAAACTTTCTCTGTGGCAAACTTGACAACAGAGTACAGTAACTAATATTAAAGTAAAAATATTAAATAAGTGAGTAAGTAAGTATATTAAAGTTTGCGCAAATTTTTTGGGAATTAGTTCGCAAGGTAGATGTACTATCTTCATACAAGATTTTACGTAAACCAATTTTTGCGTAAATCAGACACGAACTTGTCTAGATTGTCCCTTCTACGGATGTACGCAATAAATCTGTTTTGTAAAACTTTAATATAAAAAATATATATTTATCAGATATAAAGAAGAGATCAAGAGAAGGAGAGGGCTGTTTTGTGATTGCATTTGAATTGCCTAAACTATAAAACCTTATTTTCAGGGTGGACCCTTAGCGGCCGAACCAGCCTTCATCGAGGATATACGCAGTGGTCAGTACAATGCCTTTGCATGTTGTGATACGTAGATACTCAGAATAATAATCATTCTCATGTAATCGATGTCCCTGGCCTAGTGGAAGTAGTGGCCTGGCCAATCAGAGGACCAAAGGTTACGCAACACTATTTTTTTAAATGACAACTCCCGCACTAGGAATGTATCCTGGAATAATGTATCCTTAGGAATGTATTTTGTCGCGGGAAACTTTATAAATATTCATGAAACGGACACAAAGAACACCCAGACTCAGAACAAAAAGTTGTGGATGACACAAATTGTTGTCCCGTAATATAGAACAATACTTTTTCGGTTTCGGAGTAAAGGATAGTTGGGTTTTCTGTTTATGGGTGTAAAATATCGTATTATAGCACAACTGAATTTAAATTAGAGAATATGATAGGTCGTAAAGAGCCGTATTTTCTTTTCGCACAAAGGTGTAAAATACAATTACTGAAATAACATACTTACATCCAAGATTTTCAACCAATATTGGTAAATACAACTAAGCCAATTATAGTAGTGGCAAGAATAATTATGTTACTTCTTTTCAGCCTATGCTTGTCCACTGCTGGACATAGGCCTCTCCCAATGATTATGTTACTTATATATTACCTATTCTTAAAATAAATTGTGTTTACGTAACGACATTTTTTCGACATATTGCCACGTGGATTACACCGATCGATAGAGAATCAAAAACTGAGTAAGAATATGTAAAAATGTCAAAAAAGGCCAAAATGTGCTATACGCCCTTTGGGCCCGAAGGTATCAATATGTGGATCGAACCCACTCAGCGCAGTTGGAAGCGCAAAGACGACCACTTAAACCATCATGCCATCAGTGCAGGGCAGACTCTGTATTGTAGAATACAGCCACTATTTGAGCTTTTTTAGTCTCAGTCCCGTTTCCCCATCCGATAGCTCCATCACCCCACCGTTTTCCGTACCTAAACTTTACGTCACCAAAGACGAAGACTAATTCTGATTGAAACAGAATCGGTCTTTTTACTAAAAAAGGCACTAATATATTGACTACTACCATGTATATACCATTAATATACTACTATACTATATCTGTGACCTAGCAACCACAGCTAGGTTTTAGCCACCATGTCTGGTGGTCCAGTAGACGAATTTCCTCACGGCGCCAAATACGCTTCTAAAAACAAGGAACACCCTCTCTTTGTCTCAAGAAAATATTAACCACCCATTTTCATATAGAGGCGTGATTTTCTAGTATCCCTTTCCAACTGACTTCGTTGACTTTATAGAAATTGAACTCTCCACCCCTTTATGTAATTGAAGTTTCAATTTAAATAATTAATTATAGAACTAAAATTGTTTATTTAATTCAATGAATTGGGTTGACAGAAGCTTATTGGGTTGACAGAAGTGTATTAAATCTTGTAAAGAGTTATAAAATATAACTGAACATAACTGATGTGTATTTGTAGATTCAAAATTACATGCGGTGTAGGTATACGTTACAAACTGACAAGGCTACAATTTGCGTACAGATAGCCGGTCCTTGTATAGACTTTATACCATGAGCATGAGTACCATGACGGATCCAAAGAAATACTGGACCTATGTCGACTATAGCCGTCGCCTATATCGTTTAAAAAATTTTGCTTAGGTACTGTACCTTTTTTACATAAAACATTAATACAGACATTATTTTAAACATTCCTACTACGCTGAGTGTTGTGGGTTCGATCCCCACATGGGACGACACTTTGTGTGACCCACAAATTGTCATTCTGAGTCTGGGTGATCTTTGTGTCCGTTTCATGTATGTTTGTAAAGTCCCCCGCGACAAAATACATTCCTAATGCGGGAGTTGTGTTTTTAAAGAAAAAAAATAAAGAAAAGAGAAAATTATGTTAAATTGACAGGCCCGTAGGCCCGGCAGATGTACTAAAGGTTTGTTTGGTTTGTTTTAAAAGGGTACAAAGAATTTCTTATCGTATTCATATATGGATTTAGAACATGGAATATAGAACTAAAATTCTCGTATCATTTACACAGCGGATCCCTCATGGCAGTCGTCGAGGATAGTGAGCGGCTGGCCCGCAGTGCCTGGACAGATTCCCTACCAGATTAGTCTTCGTATGATTAACCCTGCCGGAGGCGTATCCTCGTGCGGGGGCTCCATCATTCATCATCAATGGGTGATCACTGCCGCCCACTGCCTTGCCAAGTTAGTGTCAACCATAATATTATATTATATATATAATATTATATATATAATTATGACATTGTCACGACTGTTGATCAAAAGTTGAAGTTCTGTATCTAATTCTTAATTTTTTCCCTACAGCCGTATAAATTTCATAGTCCGCTTCGGTTTGATAAACATAAATGAGCCTGAGCTCATAGCAGAGACGACGCGAAAATACATTTATCCCACCTACAACGAGTCTAGGGCTGGTGTTCAGACCGACGACTTGGCCCTGCTCGGACTTAACGAGCCCATTCCATATAGCAGTAAGTAATACAAAGTTAACAACACGAATTCGATAATTAACTTTTGTCAGAATGGTCGGACAATTTGCAAGTTCGGATTCAGAACTGAATAAATAAAAATAGCTGTTCCAAAATTATAACAAATATTGTGAACACACACGAAAACTGACTATCGAAATTTAGACGATATAGAGTATTTAATATATAACAACTAATAATGGAAATAAGCATCTAAACTTTCAACCTATTCCTATAGGCACCGGCACGGATCTTAGCGCTTGGCTGCAGAGAGGGGATCGCTAGCCGAATACATTACGTTATCTAAGATATTCACATAAAAATCTCAATTTCAACTACCTTAAAATTAAATTGACGAAGAGTTCACTCTTCACCAATTTAATTTATTATTTTAGTTTAGGTACTATTACTTAGTAGAAATAATGAAATTATGAATAAAAAAGAAAACCCCAATTAATTTACTCAGAACTGTACTTGTTCTCGTTAAGTACGAGAAAACCCAAGTGTGTTTATTTTACCGTCGCGTTTGGTGCTGCGATTGGCCCGCACTGAAATCTGCACCAATTGCAACGCCGAACGCGCTCACTGTCGAGAGCGAGTTGATGTGAAACAAACTGCATTGAATTTTAATTAAAGAATTTTTTGTCAATGCAATTATATTAATTCAAGACGTAAATAGAAAAACGGTTTTGCTGTTTTTTGTTATCTATGCCAGGTAGCACAATACTTTTAGAAAATATACGAGTATACTTTTAAAACGTTAGTTTACTGTTAAAATTTCAATCAATGCAGCATTGTCTTTTGTGCAGATTTAATTCAGCCAGCCCGTTTGCAAAGCAGAACTCAGAAGAACGTGGAATATGATGGCGTCACCCTGGTTGTGAGCGGTTTCGGACGTACCAGTGACTGTAAGTGCCCTCTCGCCCTTAAAAAACATAATCCTGGTACCAATTGTCGATTCAGGATCCGTGGCTAAGCTAGTACTTATTATATTTTCGAGGAGTTAAAAAGCCTACTAAAAACAATCCCCATTTAATGCTAGGTAAATATTTCACTGTGAAGGTGTTTTGGTTCTCAACGGATTCCTAGCGCTTACAGAAAAAAAAATCCAACAACATAGGAGTTAATTTGGTTGTCAAAGGTTTACATTGTTTTACGTAGTTGTCTGATTAAATTAATAATTAACTTAAAAAAAGTAAAACCAACTTCAATGTGTGATAAACTGCATCCTTTTCTTTTCTTAATTTTCACTGGCTGGGATTTTGTCTTCTCAAATTTGAAAACGACCAAATGGTTAGTCCATCCCACGAGTGTCATCTCGTGAGTGTCGTAAGAGCCGACTAAGGGAGTGAAGTAAGCAGGACAACAGCACTGAAAACAGAAGAAAAACTTGAATCAAACCCTATACCAACCCGTCTGGCCAGCGTGGTTTACTAAACCACGGCCAAAACCTCCTTTCTAAAGAGAGGCCTATGTCCAGCAGTGGACTAGTAAAGGCTGTTGATGATGATGAAATGGTTCGAATACCCTTTCAAATAAAAAGTAATTTTCAGAATCGGTTCATAAATGATGGTAACCTATTTCTTAGTCAGTTTAAAATAAACATTTTTATTACTTGTTTCACATTTCGATATATTTTGAATATATTATTTATAGTCGGTTCGGGTTCTCCAACTCTTAATTGGGTACTGCAGCGTGGGGTGAATCTCGACGAGTGCAAGACCTACTTCCCCCGTAGCACTGTCATCCGGGACTCACATATTTGTGGCAGATACTACAATGTTACCACACAGACTGCTTGTCAGGTAATAAACCTTACAAAATGACCACTGACCACCATAAAAAAAAATGATCTCCATTAATAATTGCGAAATAAAAAAAGGCAAACCCTATACACTAGGCTCTATTATTTTAAGAAATTTTAAGGTACCAATGTCAGTAAAACATTCTTAAAAAAAAAGAGGAAGGAAAGAGTTTAAACAATATAATATGTAAAGAAACAATACATAACGTATGCTGAAATAAAGTTAATGAACCGAACCAATTATGCTATTCGTTAAAGTCTTTCTTCTTTAGTACTTATTGTCTAGGGTTTATTATTGTTTAACGTGGTCTTCTACCAGACATATGATCCTTAAAGTAGTACTAGTCTATTGTAACCAGATATAATTATAGTAAAACGTTTTTCGCCCAGGGTGACAGTGGTGGTCCTCTGACTGTGGTAGACAAAGACGGAATAACAACAATGGTCGGTGTTGTCAGTTTTGGACCTGGCGGCGGATGCAGTCAAATACACCCCACAGGTACGTAAACAGTGCCAAAAACAAAGATAAACAAAACATATATAATCATAGGATGTTGGCCTAGTAGTGACTCTGACTGCTAAGGGAGGTCGTAGGTTCGAAACTTAGACAAATAATTGTGTATCTATTCCATGTATATATTTAGAATTACATTTTTATCAACAGTCTGGTTACCAGAGCACAGGCTCTGCCTAGTTTGGGATCCGAGGGCCTAGTGTCAGTTTATTTCCCATCAACTCGCACTCCACTGGTGAAGATTTCACGTTCAGTACGGGCAAATCGCAACGCTGCACGCGCTCGCCGTGGAGAGCGAGTTGATGTGAAATAAACTCGCACTAGGGCCTCAGACTGCTGTGTTAGATGTGCGAAGTTATACTATTATTTGCGAAGAGTGCAGGATTCTCTTATTTTAAATAAATAAATCAATGATTATTACATAACTTTGTCGAATCGGGTAATTAAAATATTATAACAAACTGACTGTACTGACTTCAGACTGGAGGGATGCCCCATAAAGACTTTTCTGACCAAATATTCATGGTTACTTTGTACAATGTTAAAACTACCCTTGCATTGCCTTCCTTACATATTTGACATTGTTCCCATATTAAAATAACATAAGAAATTACTTGCCACAGTTTACGTTCGCCCTGGACACTACCATGACTGGTACGTTGAGGTGACCGGCATCAACTTTGATTGGGACAGCGGTGTTGACAGCGAAAATGACGAAGATGCCAATGGTGGATTAGATCAAGTTCTTATTTCAGGCTTTTAAAGGCCATCTGTATCACAGCAGTGATCACTACGAGTACAAGTTTACACCATTTTAGTCCCAAGAAAACCTCAATTATGTACAAAAAATAAATTCGTTTACCTGTAAAATAAATGATTAATTTCTATGAAATAATGTTTTTATTATTGTTTTTTATTTTATCTTCTTTTTTTAATACGTAATGCACAAATTACGATTGTTCAACGGGCAAATGTATGACCAGGTGAGATAGATTATTAAGTTTTTTTTAAAGAGAAAATAATTGTTGAGAATATGGACAGAAACAGTGGGACAAATATATTTTATTTATTTATTTTATAATTTTTTGCACAAGTACATGCATAGGCGGACTTAATGCCTAATACATTCTCTACTAGTCGACCGATTGGGCGATGCTGAGAAAGAATGAAGTGCATAGGTGCATGTATGGGGGTTATAAATGATAGAGGTTTTCTTAAATACCAACTATCTTAGAATTTGGTGTATACATCTAAATACCACACACATACATATATAAAAGTACATACACATATATATTCATATATACATATTTATTATAAAAATATAAAAATTAAAAATTTAGGCGATGAACTAAGAGCTCGTTGAATCTGCCATTTCACTTAGCAAAAGCTCTTTCACTTGCGTCCGAAAAGAGTACCCATTTATGGCCATCCTGATTTCGAGAGGAAGCACATTCCACAAGAGGACAGCCTGGACGAAGAACGAAGAGTCGACAAACCCAGTGGTGTGAGAAAGACAGAGTAGAAGGAGATTGTTGGCCGAACGAAGGTTTATGTTGTGGTTATTGCATAACAGTTGAAATTGTGTTGTTAGGTAAGCGGGAGAGGAAGGGGAATTGAGGATAGTGTACATAATTGTGAGTGCGCGCAATTGCGTCCTGCGTTGACGAATAGGTACCCATCTTAGCTGGGCACTAAAACTGGAGATATGGTAATACTTACGAAGATTTAAGATAAATCGTATGCAGTTTTGATAAGACGATCTAGTTTGTTGATGGATCTGAAATGGGCTTAATAAGTAATTTTTGTAAATAAAACCAGAGCTGTTTATGTACACAGGCTTCAAGAATTTTGGAGAAGAAGAGAAGAATTGATAAAGGTCTAAAGTGATTAGGAAGTGTGGGATGTACAATTTTAGATAATGGAATAATGTAAGCTTTACACCAGAGTGAGGGGAAAGTTCTGCAGTATAGGGAGTAGTTTATGATGTGAGAGATTGTTGGTAAAAGATGATCAAGGATCGTTGTGATCATGTGTCTGGTGATTTGATCGAAGCCCACAGCGTTGGATTTGAGAGAGGATTCTCTTTTTGATCTCAACCTGCGCAACTGGGACAAATTAGGGGAATTTAGGCTAGCCAAGTAATTGACTGTGAGAAACTTGGTTTGGTGATCTAAATGAGTAGACGTGGAGAAATGACGATTAATATTATCCAAACCAACTATCTCCGACTGGTTAGCAGGTGTCTGTTTGCCAACACCTGGCGTTCCAAGGAACTTCCAGGTGTGGGATGGGGAGGAACGAGCGATGTTGTCGAGGATATAACGGCGTTTGGCATTGCGTATCATCTGCTTACATCGGTTCCTTGCACTGTTGTACAGATTCCACTTTTCCTCTGTGTGGCCCTTCCTAAGCCTACAGAAAGCCCTATTTTGCGTGCGTGCGTGCATATCGTGCGTATTCTGACCCTAAAGATTCCAGTACTGTTTCCAGACTGGAGAAATTTCGATAGATGGAGGACAATAGACGACACCGAGAACCATTTTGGAACCTCGAGGAAAAGGTACTCAGCATCTGCAGAGTAAGGGGCGGGAGAAGAAACTAGAATTTTGTAAGGTAGAGAACAGTGTATGTATATGGCTACCCCGCCGCCTCTCCGGTTGATTCGGTCGTTACGGACAAGAATGTAGCCTGGGAAGGGATAAGATGTAGAAGCAAGGTTAGGTTTGAGCCAACTTTCTGAGATCAAGATGGCGTTGACATTTGTATCAGTGAAAGTTTCTGTCAAGTTCCATAAATGACTAGGTATGCTTTGGGCATTTATGTGGCACACATTAAGCAGGTGCTTCGATTGCTGGATGAGTGTGTTTTGCAAGCGGTCACCTTATGTGTCAGGTACAGAAGCAGAACTGTCTTCATCAGTAGAAACTGCAGACTCATAGGCAGAATTATCAGAGTCATCTTTATCCACTTTCATCGATATCGCGACGATATATTATGAGAATATACTACAGATAAATAATATATTTATAATACTGTGATATCTAAAGATATTTATAAACTAACAAAGCTATTAACACTCTTTACTAAGTGGCTTGAAGTTTTTCTCAGCACCACCCACCAGCTAACACTACATATTATAAAAACAATAATAGTAAACACATAATAATCAAAGACTAAAAATAGCAACACAGAAAAAAATTAAAAGAGTAAACGTGTTACGAAACGTAAGACGTTAAATGAAGACAAAAGACATGTGCGTATCCGAACACAGCTCGCTGAGCCAAGTGTTACTTTGAAGTGTCACGTTTGTTTAAGATCATAACGCACTATGAAATGCAAAACGCGTAAATGATAATTTAAACTCTTGTGGGTAAATTAGTCAACAAAATAATAGCAAAACATTATGGACAGGAGCTTGATGCGAGAAGCTGAAAATCGATCGAGTGGTGTGCAATAGGAGAGGCCTATGTCCAGCATTTGACTGCGATAGGATGATGATGATGATGGGCTATTACTGTTCTTGGCAGTATCATAATTTGAATACTTTAAAGGGGCTTTTCACCATATTTATTTTCGAGAATTAGTTTTCTGTGGGACATGGGATACATGGGAAATATCCCCTTTCCATAAACCTATCAAGTAAAAATGACCATGATGGTTTGAATCAATACATAAATAATTTAATAAAAGTAATAACTTTTATTTCACATATATTTTTTATTAACTATAAATTAGAAAGTTACATAATTGTAATATATTTACATTTTATGAAACATCTAAGCACTATAAATATTAAGAAGATTGTGAACATTATTAACTAGTCAAACAAAATATACTAGACATATGCTTTTATAGAAAAAAATGCCTAATCAGGTGCTAAAATTAGAGCAAGCAAAATTAACAGCTACATTAAATGTATCATCTATGATACATTGCTATACAGAATTGTATTTAGCAGATATGCCCTAGGTGTACCCGGTGATGTTGCTGACCTATAACAGTACCAATTCATACTTGAAAATAGTGACAATAGTTTTATGACTATTTATGAAATGTTTTAATTTACTACCCATTTATGCTAACACAATCATAAAGGTTCACTATACTGACGGTTGTCGCTGACTGAACAATATTGTAATAGTCAACTTTGTGTTATTTAGAGAAACACATAATAAAGCTTGGCCATGTTAAAAGATCGCGTTTTGAAATGTCATTAGACGCAAGTACTACATGCAGTTGACATATGTTTTACTGCCTTACATATTGACCCTGTAGCGATTAAACAATCTCGGAAACTTCAGATGCGAGTTAGTAATTAGATTTGTCTTAAAATGGACAAACCTCCTTTCTAAGGAGAGGCCTATGTCCAGCAGTGGACTATTAAAGGCTGTTGATGTGATGATGTGTGATGGACAACATGATAAAATAGCAATGTCAAAATTACCATTTCCTTTTTAACTTCAACAGAATTTTCATTACTTCTTTTTAAAATTGTATTGCACAATATAATTGTTTTATGGTTTTCTTTTACCGTACGGTTTGATGAGATAGGTTTCCATGTGCTGTTTTTCGCCACTCCAGGGCAACGTGCCTATTACAGCTATATATTGATGCTTGCTTGCTTACCCAATAGTATATTTTATATTGTCATTCACTATGAAAATGAATGTCTTTGTTTTTATTTACTAATACATACAATAAATGTTCACTATCATATTATAACCTAACTTATTTCTATCTGTCTGCTACTTCTTGAACATATTCCGGTTCTGGGCAGTTCTGAAAAGCTTTGGACAGCAATACGTCGCAATACTCTTTCTCCTCATAATATGTATCATCAACTAGATCCGGATGTTTCAAGTGGTTTTCAAGAATTTCTTTTAACCCAACACTTGGGTCTCTGAACTGTCTTAGCAAGGTAGCGTCCAAGCCTTCAATGAGAGCCACTAGAACGCTGAGAAGATGTTCTGTTGTCTGGTCGTGGGTGCTTTTAATTTGCTCTGCTATGGTTCCAACAATGTTGTGTTTTATGAATTGCTCTGTAAACAAAACAAATTTTATTTTATTTTTCTAAGTTAAACATGAAATATTTTCGCTAGATAACATTAAATAGAAATCTGATTAATTAAAGTGTATGGGTCTACCTAGCCTTTGTGCCAAAAGGGACTTGGCTACCTTCGCTAGTAACTACCATTTCTGTTGGTAACTACCATAGACACTACTTGTGGAGGTGTTTATAGGCACCACTTATAACTGTTCCATGTTTGTCAACTTGGAATAATAAAAAAATCACATAATACAATTTTACTATTGACATCAAGTGATTGTCTCAATTTTCAGCTGAGGAGCGAGTTGACCATGTTTTAGGGCAATTTAAAAAAAAATGCAGTTGGGATGAAAGTGGATTCATTTTGTCTAGGCTTATTTAGAGGTAGAAGTAGAAGAACTCTATGAGCCGCGCCATTCAATAATTAAGAAATTTATTTTATGGATTTATTTAGGAAAGCTAGTCGGAAACATATGAACATTCGCACCTTTAGCTTCAGGATAATTGTGGCAAAGATATCTTATAAAGAAAGCTGCCTTGGTCCTCACTGTGGACTCAGGGGCGCGCAACAAATGCGCGAGAGTCTCGCAGCCGCCACGTGTTATCAATTCTCGACACGCTGGTTCGAACTCACGACAACTACCTGAAAATACAAAATTATACAGGTAAAAAAAAAATTAATATGAGAACATGTTAAAATGCGTCATTTTTTTTAAATTGAATTGTATTTTTTTAAAATTGCAGGTATCCGTTTCTTAAGTATTGCTTATAATCTATTGTTAATACTAATTTACTGACTCTATACTTTGTTTTTTTTATCAACATCATTATTTATTTTGACTGCACGGATGGCGTAGTGGTTTAAGCGGTCGCCACGCCGCTTCCTATTACGCCGAGTGTTGTGGGTTCAAACCCCACATGGGACAACACTTTGTGTGATCCACAAATTGTTGTTCTGAGTCTGGATGTACTTTATGTCCGTTTCATGTATGTTTGTAAAGTCCCCGCGACACAGGATTTATTCCTAGTGCGGGAGTTGTCTTTAAAAAAAAAAAAAAACCCTTTACATGTCAAGAAATCCCACTCTTCCAAATTCTGTGATACCCAGTAAGGTTATTACAACATAATCGAATATCTATAATTTCCACAGGTATATAATTAATTAGGAACGAATACTCACATGATATAGCATATAAACACTTAGCCAGTGCATCACCTCTTTCAATCTCAGCCAAAGATAGCAAGACACTGAGGAACCCACATTCAAGGGCTTTGCCTTGACAAAATGGATTGTTCTGACATGATTCTGCCAGCATTGAGCTGGCGTGCATTCGTACAGTCTCATTCTCGCTGCCATAACATATTGGAAATATAGCAAACCCACCCATTTTATAAAAGTCTGAAAGGTAAAGTTATTGTTTATTAAATTGTAAAAAGCCAATCACAGAATAAACAGAAATGCTGCCATAAAAGATAAAAAGAAATATTACTATGACATAGTCCTGATGTGAAAAAGAGAAATCAATGCATAGAAGACCAACCATCCATGCAAGGTAATATAGAGAGCTAATTAAATTACCACAGCTAAACTGTCCTAAAATAAAGGTGCTTGTACATGATGCAAGTAGCTCGCGAATGATAAGGGACTTAGGTTATACTTCACAAAAAGGAATAAGCGGGTTCAATCCGCATGATCTGCGGCGTCTGCTTAGTATAGTTGGCTAGAATAACATTTTTAACAAATTATTTTATAAGAATTCTTGTTGATCAAGGCAATTTACTTGTGCTCCAGCTACCTATGTATAAGCATCCTAATGCTCCTGTAGTGAAATCGTCTAAAAACTAACCATTAGCAACATCCATGTCATCAATTACATCCAATAGCACAGTGAATGCTGTCTGAACTTCAGCTGGCAGCTCCTGACCAAGCTGTATACTGCGCATCCTTTCTGTATTTGTGAGCACTTCAATAGAGTGTTTTAGTACTTCAGTCAAATCGATTGTGATGCTGGCCATAGCATCTATTAAAAACTGACGTCTCTGTAACATTAATAAGCAGTCTTATCTAGTCTTTCAATGTAACTTAGTGACAGACTTCTATTTAGAAAATGATAAAAAACAATTGAAAAAGTTATGATTAGAAACTTGTCTAACTGCCTTTTAATAGCAGACAATACTCGAAAATAAATGTGTTTAAATTATCTGCCTTCTAATATTACAATTATTATTCATAACAGTTTGATTGAAATGTGATTGATGCTTGATGACAGTTATGAAACAGAAAAAAAACCTATGTATTTCAACATCAGGTGACAATTATATGAATCATAAAAAAGGTGTGACATAAAAATCACACATCATTTCATTATTCATTGCTTTTTCTTGTAAATACCATTAATTTGTTACCACACCCTACTTTGAAGCAACAGTTGCTTAGTGAATGATTTATTTTTATTTACTTCAACATGTTTTTTTTTTAAAGAAATAAGCATTGTTCATATTTAGTGTTATTAAATAACATAGTCTATTTAATGTTATTTTTATAAGATAAGGTAACAGAACTAGCACTCACTTCGTCGTCCATTGGCCCATGCTGACTGTTTCCTGGAGCATCTTCAGCTTTTGTAGCCTCCATTGCAAATCTAAGCAGTCCCTGTAAATATGAAGTGAACTTATGAATATAAAATCATTTTTTAGGGTTATATAAAAAAATAAGCATATTCTGAGGATGAAGCATATGTTTGAAGTATATGTTTAAAAAATCTAAAACTTATATGTAGAAGAAATGAATCTGATTAATTTTTCAATGAATCATGTATAATATGTTTGGATTGGCATCTAAAACTTAACACTTGTAGAAAAAATTAATACAATTAATTTTTGTAATAGGTTTATTACAACAGAGATCATCACATTCTGTACTGTCCTGAACTGTGCAATATAAAAAACTAGACTATTCTGTACATTTGTGTGTCAGATAAATATTGTACTTTTTGATTTTGATAGATACCAGGGTTTAATACAAGCATAGATTAATGTATGCACTGCATTAATTTTCTGTACTGTAAGTTTAAGAGGATCTATTGTTTTTTTTTTTTTGTATTTACTAGTTAATAACAATTACTACCCTATTACTCATTGACATTACAATTTTCACATAATAAATGATGGCATTTACATTGTAAGTTTAATCAATTACAAATATGGTAAAAAAACTTTTCCATTAGTCCTGCCGTACATCTTATAAGATGACTAATATATTATGACATACACTTGCATTTTTTTTACTGATTTTGATGAATTAGAGATTAATTCCTGTATGAAATAAAAAGATATTAAATGAAAGAGAGTAACTACTTATTATAATTAGTTTAATCATGAGGGTGGTATAGAAACGTGTGTATGATAATAATGATTTAATATAATTGTGATTTATAACATTAGATAAGTGTAAAGTGTTGTAAATATAAGCAAACCCAAATCTAAAACGTGTGGGATGTCTTGTAAAAAAAATTTTTTAGGTCATCAACTTAGCTACACTGCCTAAGCCACACAAACCAAAACGTACGTATGTAAAACTCTGATAATAGTTACCTGTAAATTGCGAGGTTGTCTAGGCTGATTTGGTACTGGTTCCAAATTTCCATCAGGATTACCCGAAGCCATGTTTCTAACCACTGTAGATAAAAATGAAACTGGATATTCGTCAACAAGGCGTCACTAGTGCCACTCAAATAACAATGTCAACGCAAGACGTAATGTTTTATTCGGCTACAATGAATCCTACCTACAAACTGTAAGTAGACTCTAGAAATAACGAAAAGTTAAACTAAATTATATCTCAAGTCGTTACTCGTGGTTACTGAATGAATGGTTAATATAAATCATAATGACAATTCTAATTTCTAGTGATGCCAGATCTATTATTACTATTATTACTAAATAACTTCTTTGTTTTAATTTTTTTTCTACTTTTCTATTACCCGTTTTCAACTAAAATATAACGATTTTGAATAATTTTAAGTTAAGATTACTTTACATAATCAGGAAAACTCCCGCGATCATCAAATGTATACATATTCTTGCAAAGAAAACAAAATCTCAAGTGCACTTTGCCCTTTCTTACGATATTTGTCTGCTCCTAGTAGTTAGATGAAGGAATGGTACAGATTTTATAATTTTGAAAAGAGATTTCGCATACTCCCTTTAGTGAATATATTAAAAACCATAAGCAGACGACTTTACGCTGATCTTCCTACTAGACCCGGTCAAGTCGACGTAAGTAGTTCAAAAGAGATCCAGTCGGGATTTACCGAACCCCATGAAAATGAGCTTCGGGACCAACGGGATCCAGAATTCCAGACATATACACACGTAGAAGACATTCCGTATCGACCTCAAGCCTTTTAGATTTCTTTCTCGATTTTCTAAGCCTTTATTAGGACCGGACGAGAAACGGCTGGGTTTTAGTGTAACTGCAAAACGCCATGCCACGTTATGATTTCGGACTTTTTGTTGGACTCTGTTAGAACTATTAGACTTGTCTATTTATAATTATAATGCGGGTTTTCACCCAGTTTATTTCTATTGATCATAGCATTTGCTGTGCTGTACCTACAAACCTACCGGATGTATCCTGGAAAATATACTGAATTTACGTAAACGATCTCCCTTATCTAGCCGACTTAAATACAATCGTCGAATTGTCATCGGTTTTGAACAATTGTTATATTTTTTTTTGTTATTTTGATAGACAGTGAAAGTACATACGATAAAACTATAAGGACTGTACATCTTACCTATCTTTAATAAATATCACTAAAGATAGCTTATCGGCCAAGATAAACTGAAGACGTTGTAACATGTTTCCATAATAACATTTTACACATAATCTGGTGATTCGTCCCAGGCTTTTGTTATTAAACGCTACAAAATAGTCTTGTGAAGAAAATTAAATGTAATTTTATTTAAAAAAAAAACAGTCTCTGACGAAATTATCTCAATAACAAGATCTTGCTGAAAGGTAAGTGGACTATTTTGGCTATTTTGGCTAGTTGGCTATTTTTTTTTTGTTGGGATGTAAATATAAGAACTGTTCACATTTGTCTTAGTGTTTTGTCACATAATTATGTCTAATTGTCCATTCCATTTATTATTACAAGTATCCATCCAATTATACACAGGTCAGTTTATTACATATCTTACATTAATAATAAAAATGCAAGTTGAAAACATATATCTCTAGCATTTTCTGCGGGATGCTCTGAACTACTTAAACTGCCTATTTAAACATCTTTAAATATCCAGGTAGAATAAAGCATAATATGTAGTCCCATATTACGGAGTCAAATGTTTTAGAGTCATCCATGTGGCGTGTAAGCGATGGCATTTTAAATGCTCCACTGTTTCCATTCTTCTCAACATTTGCCATTGAGAAAAACCAGCCTGTCCAATGGTCTGTCATTTTGAGTTAAAGCCTACTATCCTTTTGATATACATTCCTATATATCTTCCATACCCTAACGCAGAAAGTTTAAATATTGGATAAAGTCTAGGCAGCTCAGATTGGACTTAATAGACTTGATTGAAAGTGAATTTGCGATGTGTGACTATTCGTTATACTTATAATTGGCTTTGTTTGCAACAAGAGCCTTTCTATTATCATTAACTATTATCATTAACTGGATAGCGGTGGAAACTGTCTTGTCTGACAGAAAACGTAAAGAAATACAATTAAGGAGTAAAATCGTCTGCGAAAGGGCGCTGAAAGATATTTTTGCTCAATCCTAATCACGGCCAGAGGCCGGCGCTGAATCTGAAATAAGATGTTGAAATATATTTAATAGTATACGATAAGAGAATTGACAAGATGACGAATGAATCCGATACAGGAAGCCTGAAAGTAACTGCATTTCTTTCATGGTTGAGTAGTAACCGATTGTTACAGTTGTATGGAGATTTTTAAGTAGGGAGTTGAATAAATACAAGTGAGCGACTAAAGAAAAAAAACTCTAGCCTGTGTGAAAGCAGATATGGCTAGAAAGGGAGTCGGTGAATTGAATAATGAAAGAAGAGACACATTGCACCGCCCTAAAATAAATTTGTAAAAAGGGCAAGAAGTTGATGATATTTAATACTATTTACCAATATGTATAACATTATGCTCATCGTATAATATAGTCATTTTATCTAATCGTTATCACTATTAATCTTAAGAGGCATATAATACACAAACACGTACTTATTTACCTTATAAGAACAAGGCTGTATGTGTTATTCAACTAAATTGCAACTGGAAATACCATTTAGTTAAATAGCATACACTATCTCTCTTTGGTCGATCCCTCATGTTTGAGGATCGTGGTCAGCATCATCTGGAACTGATGATGTCTCTCCACCGGTTCTTGTCCAGCGCGTCACTCAAGACCATTTAGGATTTAGGGACGCTGGCTCTTTTACTTGATCTGTCCACCTTGTTGGTGCATGAACACGTTATCTTTTGCCTTTGCCTTTAAAAACACTGATTGGGAACACTAACCAGTTTTTTTTTAATATTTAGAAAATTTAGTTACCAAATAATGAAGGTATGTATTGTTAGCACATCTAAAATGTATCAATCTTGCATCTTCTTTTTCTTTCGCGGGTCAGAATTGTCCACGTTTCAACACCATACATATAGATAGGGAATACCAGGGCTCGTAAGTCTAATCTCGATATAGAAATCATATATTTTTTTCTTTCAGATGCTTTTTAGACGAGTCTTAGGGACATAACTGCCTGTATATATTTTTAGATTGAATTTAAAAAATGTCAATATTTGCAAATACTATTTGCGTAACGATAAGATTAGATTAGTATCTTAATAACAGCTGTTCCAGGATCCATATTGGTATATCCTAAGTATTAGATTTCGACACCAGTTTCACGAAGATTGTTTTGCTTCCCAGCATAGGCCTTCCCTAAAGCTTGCCATAAAGTGCAATCTTGTGTCTTTCTTCTCCATGATGCCTGCTATTCTTTTTATGCCATCCTCACACTTACGACGCTGGCTCCCTTTCTTTCTCTTGTATTGCCTTGGATACCACTTAGTTACATCTTTGGTCCAATTGTCCTTCTTATTCCTCATCACGTGACCCGTCCATCTCCACTTTAGATTTTAATGCAATATGTTACATCTGTAATTCTCGTTTCTTTCTGAACTGTTTCAAGTTTTATTCTGTTTCTTAATTCAACATTGAGCATGCTTCTTTCCATACTATGATGACAAGTTTTTAGTTTGACATTGTGATAGTGTTTGACATCCATATGTCAGTACTGGCAAAATACACGAATCAAGTTGAATCAAGTATTGCTTTCTTAGATTTAAGTGGTATATCGGGCTTTTTCATTATTTCTTTTAGGGAGCAGTGTCTTTTCCAACACAGGTTCATTCTGTTGTTTATTTCTTTGGATATGTAGTCTTTTGGGGATATTATTTAGCCAAGATATATGTATTCATCCACATATTCAATCTGTGAACCATTGACCACAATAGGGATTTTTCTACGTTTGTCATTAGTTTTGTTTTTGAGGAATTAATTGTCAGTCCAACGTTTTCACTTTCCACTACAAGTTGTTCGAGCATTTCACCTGAAATCAGTATCAGATCGTCTGCAAATCTTAGTGGGTAAAGTTTCACTCCGTTGATGTTTAATTCATAATTATTCCATTCGAGACGTCTAAATACGTATTCGAGAACTGCTGAAAAAAGTTTGGGTGACAACAGGTCTCCTTGTCTAACTCTTCTTTTGATAGAAACATTTTCACCCACTCTTTCTATTCTTATTTTAGCTCTCATATTCTTGTAGATGTTGCTAATGAGGCATATATATTTTTTATCTACTGCCTGTGTATCTAACGCTTCCCATATTTTAGCGTGTTTAAGTGAATCGAACGTTTTATTGTAGTCCACGAAAGCAAGATAGTAATTAATTCCATATTTCTTACTTTTTTTGGTAACCTGTTTTATGGTGTGAATATGATCAAGTGTTGAAAAACCGCTGCGCATTCCTGCTTTTTCCCTTGGTTGATTTTCGTCCAAAATCTTTGTAACTAGGTCTAATAGGATCTTAGAGTATATTTTGTAAATGTTGGATAACAAGTTGATAGGTCTATAATTTGCTATATCGTCTTTACTTCCTTTCTTATGCAAAAGTATTATGGTTGATGATGTCCACTGATGTGGTATATACTCGTATTCTGTATATAAAATTTCACTGAATAGATCTATAATGATGTTTAGTATTTCGATAGGTGTTTCTATTAAGGGTTGGTTTGATATGGCGTCTTCACCTGGTGTTTTCCCTCTCTTCTGTGTTTCTATTGCTTTGTTAACATCCTCTCTCATTATATTTGGAATCTCTTCATCATTCTTGCTCTCGTAGATAGTTAGCTGACCTTGTTCAGACAGTAATTTATTATCACTGTATAGCTCGCGGTAGTAGTTTGTTGCGATTTTCAATATTTCAATTCTGTTTGTGTTGCTTCTTTTAGTTCTTAGGTGAGTAATGTTTCCGATCCAATCCAAGCTGTCTCTCAGTTGCTGCCAAGCCTTTTTTGTACTATTATCTCATTATAAGAATTCTTACTAGACGTTAAAACGCTGTAATTGTAGTATACATTGTGCTTTAGTCAAATAACGCCCCTTCAATAACATTATAAGTAGGTACTGCAAAGTAGTCAGTCAGCCAATATTTTAAGTATCCAACATTTCTGCCTAAAATCCTTGTTTAAGATATTCGTATTCGTAAATCTTAGAATCTTAGGATTTTACAATGGTTTAATACTTGGTTGCTATATTATTTCCATGGATTAACTATAGGTAATGGATGCTAAATGTTACTTCTTACCAGGCGTAAATTAAAACCGTTACTCTAAAATACGATGTATGTATTTAGAAATCAACGGAACGCGTTAGAACAGCTGATTCCTTGTGGACGAAATGTCGACATTTATATGTAATTGTAGCTTTATGTAAATAAATAAACAGATTTGAGTTTTCTTTTTGTTTAATAGAATTATGTGTCTCTTATAAACCTGTTTTTGGTTTGAGCATTAAGTTATAAATATGTACGTTTCAAAACAGGTTTGCAGATCCCAAGATTAGCACATCAATACATATTTGATTTCACAACTATTTTATTTACGACCACATGATAAGATAGCTTTAATAAAATAATGGTGACGAGGTGCAGAGGTCCAATGGCAGCTAACCTCTTAGATGACTTTCTGTCCACTGTCACAGTATTACAAATTCGATTTTGGTTTGAAACGTTAACGATTTGCTTCGATTAGTAAACCTTTATTTTTTCATCGCATTTTCAGTTTCTTAAAAAATTGAAGTACTTTTATTATCTTATGTATTTACTGAAATACAGTTAAATGTTTACATTTATTTACTATTACTCTACTCATTACTAATCGATTTCCAGTGATGGCGCCTCGACAGGACCTCGTAGCCCAGCCGCAGCCGATCCGAATAGAGCAGGGCAGGCAACCCCCACCTCCACCCGCCCCCGGCCGCCACCAACGTCCCCCTCACGACAACCCCACCGTCTACATAAACAGTCCCGTAGTGGCTATGCCCCGAAATAATGTCAGTAGGAGAGAAATCACTCGCACGTAGGAAAAAATTGCAAAGAAAATAAGAATTGTAAATCATTCGAGTTATTTTTAAGTGTATTTGTATTAAGTCTTAATAAAATTTCAAAATATTGCTTATTTTCCTTCTCTTTTCAAACACGTAGATATAGAATTGCGCTTATGACGTACCTATATATTTAAGTATGCAAATATTTGGGCTTGCGATTTGCTATTAATTCATGGTAGATATCTCCCATAAATTAATAGCAATAGACAGGCAAAAATTAATGTTATGGTTAACTCATAACCATAACATTAATTATTTAACCAGGAGGATTTGACACGAAATACAACAAATTTATCTTTCCACGTCTAATAAGGCAAATAAGCTAAGACTTTGGCTTTTGAGTTAAATCCCAAAAGAATTTTCAATATTTAGATGAAAACAATAAACATTTGGATTTTTTATTTCAAACGGTTTACTATTTAAACAATAGGCAAGTAATTAGTGAATAGTACATTCCATATGAAAAAATAATTCAAATGGCTTTTTTTCTAACGTATTAATAGATTAAATTTTATAAGAATTAATTAAACATTCGAAATAATTAAATAAATAGCGAAACTTCAAACATAACAACATTGGGTTAATCTCACCTTTGTATGTTCTTTTTGGGAGTAGAATATCTTTGGACGACTCCCTCAAGGCTATCTGATCCCAAACTATTCTTCGTTTAACTATTACATTCTTATGCACACTATGATATATATATATATTCATATTAAATCCGTATTAATGTTTGTACATACATATTTCCGTGTGGTGACTGGATCAAGAATACGGAGTGTCACCGCCCCCATTCACCCTGTGGGTGTCATAAGAGCCGACTAAGGGAGCAAAACTACGCAGGACAACAGAACTGCAGATAGAAGGAAAACTTGAAACCAACCCTATACCAACCCGTCTGGCCAGCGTGGTATCGTAGGCCGAAACCTCCTTTCTAAGGCGAGGCCTATGTCCAGCAGTGGACTACTAACAGCTGTTGATGATGATGATGACATATTAAATTGCACCCATATGCAGAACAAATGATCGTGTTCTATAAACAATTACTTAATATATTTAAGATCTTCAGTAGTATTAAACTATTGCTTATATATTATTGGCAGGAGCTACTCGATAACAATGTTTTATTAATAAATTCTTGCTTGATGATTTGTAGCGAATATAATACAAAATACAGTACAGTACAATCCCTGTAGAAGTCCACTGCTGGACTTAGGCCTAGAAACGAGGTTTTGACCTATTATACCACTCTGACCAGACGGTTTGCTTCAAATTTTCCTTCTCTTTGCAGTGCTATTGTCCTGCGTAGTTTGTTCACAAAGTGGGCATTTAAGACATGCACGCGCTGCCATGCTGCGTGGATACATGGATTTTGATTTCCCTTAAAAACCACCAAAAGAAAATTTACCTACTCTCTGATATGAAAGTGTGATATCACTTGAATGTTTTCCGTAATACTGCTAGTATAAAACTTACAAATAACTTTCTTATTTCTCTTAGCAATACTAATTTTCCACTATTAATGTAGGTACTGCTCACTCATGACGTCTTTGTGATGTTTTCAGATTCTTATGAGCCGTGTCTACTCAGTCATTTAAGGCTCGTACCTCTCTTACATTCTTATGATTTATTGGCAAAGGGAGACAGGGACAAAACAGGATGGTATGTTCAATAGAGCTGTCACAAAAGTACTGTTTACGTTTCTGTACGCATGGTTTTACATTTTACCTGAATAAAGTTTGGAACAGAAAAAACTAAGTCCATTTTATAATGTTTATAAAATTCGTTCTTATGTGACGTCCTTAACTATAATCTGTGAATTTCATCTTCATGGATCAACCAGTACTCTTCAAGATTTAGCGAAATTAAAACCAACTTCGCATTAAGAAGGGCAAAAGGTCGAGCGTTTTTTGGTTACATATGGTGTAGTGTAGATACGAAAAGTAGTGGTCAAGTGAATCGTAAAGTTTATTAAAATGCTTTATTGTAGCCGTACCTGTGGTATTTATTTTTAGGTTTTACCTAACAGGTGGTAAATACTGCAAAATGCGCTATGCGTTATGATTTCTAAAACTGACAAAACGAATGGGCGAAATAGGAGTTAGTACTTTTTATTGCCTGACTACCTATTTGTTTCCATAGAGAATTCTCTAGCTAAGGTGTCTTTAATAAATAAAAGACTGAGAATCAATACCTGATAGTTTTATGTTGGACTAGCACAGCTTGTCGTAACATAAAACCCAATAAGTAGCTATCTATTTTAAACTGAATTAAAGATTAGGTACCTACTACCAGTTCTATGCTTACACTTCCTTTTCTATAAATAAACTTTTTTAAGCTATCCTATAAACAAACTTGCAGTTGTTTTAAAACGGCCTTGATCTAGAGCAATGTGTAAACTGTGTAAAACGGACAAAGTAACCGGGCAGGTGTCATGATTCCCTCATAATAATTGATAGGCAACAATAAAAATAAACAGTAAGTGTTGCGGAGTGCCGAGCCCGGTGCGGAGCGGCAACGTCGCACGATCGATCGATGCTGCTGCGCCGTTTAAGGCCACCAGGAGTTTCCCCTTACGAGAAATACATTGAAGTTTCTTTACAATACATTGTATTAAATAGAACTTTCTTCGCTACAAAAGCTCGTGAATATACCTATAACTATATTTAAACACCAAACTTTATTTTTAAGATACCTAATCTGAAAGTAGTCTGTCATTGATAGAAAAAATAGAAGTTTGTGAGTAGGTAAATATTTAAGTATCTGAATCAAAGAGCTGTGTAACAAAATAATACCTAGAGAATGACTTTTTTGGAACAGAATGGTGTAGGTATATTAGGTATATACATATACCAATGGACCAAAATTAAAAACGTGTGAATTCAAGTGTATTTGAACAATGAGTTTATAACGTTGCGTTGATGTTCTTGCAATTAGCTAAGAATACATCACGGAAGTTTCTTACTAATTTATATAGGTATAACCTGACGACAAAACAAAATAAAAAATCTGTCCTACGAGCGCCTCAGGAACATTTATCATTGCAGGACAGTATACAATACCTCCGGAATCTTCATAAACGTTTAAAATTCACATGTGAATTGGCAAATTTAGGAGCTACGATGCCATAAACTTTAAGTTTAACGTATAATCATAATAATAATCATATTCATCATTTATTTGCGGAATAGGTATAGGTACCGCATATTGTGGTAAGACATAGTGTACCACTCAGTGTTTCCACTTTAATGATTTCTTTTCCCCACGCCTCAATTCAAATTTCCCCTTTTCGGGGCTTTTTTCCCCTCAAAAATTTAGTAACTAAAAAAATAAAAGGTCTTTATCGATTTTCTTCTATAGCCAGCCCACGCCTCTGGTGATACTATACTATGAAATCTATAAAACTTGGGCTGTATACTCACCTCTTATATACAGAAATGTCATAAATTAATTAAATTGAATACAGTTAAATTAACAAAATATGATATAAAAGATTTCAGAGTATTACTTAGACATGTCAGAAAAAAATAAAATAAGTTTTAATTTGTCAGGCACATACCTATATTAAAATTGTCAAAAAAGGTTAAAAATTGCCAAAAGTAGACTATAATTGTCAAGATGGTAACAATAGATAAAATAACAATAATATTTTGTGTTATACTAATTATGTTAATTTATCATTTAAGTTAGTACTTATTCTTCTATAGAAAAGTAAGCTTTATTTAATAGGAATTCTTTTAACTCCTTAGTTCTTCTTAATTACTTCTTAACTTTCTACTTTTAAATATCTGTATAGTATCAGCAGATTGAACATATTTGGGCAACTTGTAAATTTTTGGCGCCATTACAAGTATACTTTTGTGGTATAATGTCGTTTTGGCTGGAACTAATTGTGGCCTGCCACATCTGCGGCTACTTGTAATCGTCACAAATTTTGACTAGTTCCTTTTAACAAATAATGCTGTTTCAAGAATATACATGGATGGCATTGTTGGTATTTTTAGCCTTAAAAAGTGAGGCTTACACGTATGAGTAGAACAAATGTTACAAATGGCCCTAATGCATCGTTTTTGTGCCTTAAAAACTAAATCTTGACCTGTTATATTGCCCCAAAATATTATACCATATCTTAGCGTAGAAGCTACAACACAAGTCTATGATAAGCAGAGGAAATTGTACGAATGTTTACTATTTTGTTTAGTATGTATAATGCATGTTGGTTTATTTATTACATATTTTCTCTATTTGTAGTTTCCACTGAAGGTTATTTTTAATTTGCAATCCTAAAAATTTAGATACTCTGGTCTCACTAATCGTATTATCATTATATTTAATGTCAATATTTATTGATTTAACACCTCGCCTTTTGTGTAGGAGGTTAAAAATAGCATGGATGGTTAGTCATAACCTTATGAATTATTACTGTCTTTGTCTAGGTATTAGGTGAATCATTGAAAATAAAAACAAGAACATTTTTGATTCTAGACCTATTCAACGAAGCTTTATTTTTATAAATTTACTAAACCCGGATATGAAACCATCGCAGTTAATTTGATTTGAAAATGCATCACCAAAATCAGAAACTATCCTAACTTCATTTGACGTTTTCGTCAAGATGAATTCTCATGTTCTTGTTTCCCATGATGGATTCTAAAAACGTCGAACTCATGGTCACTATATGATTACATTGATGACTTACTTTTACTGAAGCCATCATTAATAAAAAAAAATCGATTTCCGTTATAGGTAACAGTAATAACACAAAAAATTACGTATATACACAAAATGATAATAACAATCGATGATTAAAAAACCATGAAGTAAATTACCTTTAGTTATAAGTTACAATGATATAAAGACAGTTTGTAGTAAATTCAAGTTTACTCGAAAGTAAATCTATGAACAGAAGATGTACGGAGGTACACAAGGACAACGCTACACTTTACAATGACGTTCCCTTCCCTCGACTTACCTGC